ATAAGGTAAATATTTTTAGACATAACCTTCGGTACATAGTAATTATTAAACATATATTGAGTTTTGAGTATGAAGTTTTTTTATATACCTCGATAAGGCATTCTAAATTAGTGCTTCAACCATGAATTACTTGAAATTGTGTCATTATCAATATAAATGCTTTCCTGATCTAACTATGACTAATGTGGAATGCTTGTTATTGATTTAAGTATGATCAAACACTTTAGGAGCTGTCGGATTCCTGAGAGATTGTAGGCTAATGAATGTTATCATAACAAGGGCACATAAATATGTAGTAGTTATGTGTGATAGCTCAACAGTTTGTCATAACAGTTTCTTGCATTATATCCACTATTTTGGTAAGGTGAAGCATACTAAATCCAATGCTTCTAAAGGATCTGGACTTGGCTAAGATCCAATGCTACCATCCATTAGTTAATACGACATGAACAAATCAAGTACTAAGCTTTAAATTTCTTTTAGGTGGTGATTATTTGGGAGTTTAATTTGTAGAATAGATGCTTATATTCATTTTTTTCTTCTTGGCATCAATTTCTATGTTAATTTGTGTACAAGTTATCATTTTTGTGAATAGAAAAACTGCAACCCTTAATTTAAGTCTCACTATAATACTGTATTTTTTAAATCTATGATACAATAATTGTATTAAATACTTTTATAGGTAGCAAATCACTCTTAAAAATGAAATTTTGCATTTAAATTAAGGTACAATGCTTTATAATTTAAATTGCTTGGTTAATGAATTTTTATTGTACCATGTCTTTCATGGAAAAGTTTAATTTGCAAAGTTATCTGACATAAACTTGTAAACTAGCAAAACCATTATATTTTCTTAAAAAAAAAGTTTTTGTTGCTTTTTATTTTTTTAATTTACACCATTATTTTAAAGATAAAACCTATAAAACTTTAACCTTATTGTATTTGTCAACATGAATGCTTTTAATAGATTGTCAATGTATCAAAATTTCTCAAATGCAATTTCTCAAAATATGAATTTGTGTTTGGTGCAAGAGATTGGTAGGTTATTTTTGGTAGTAGCATTCATTGCTCAATCTGCTACAAATATTTTTCAAGCAAGGATGAAGGAGTTCACTTTGAAGGTATTTTGGAAATGTACTTTTACTTTCAAAATCTAAGTTTCAATGGTATAATGAATGTAAAAGATTTTTTAATATATTGTTTTTGTTAACTTTGTTGTATTTCTCCTTTCAGTGATGTCCTTGACACAGTAAGGATTATTAACAAGACAAATATAACACATAAGAAGTATCAATAGCTTCAAAATAAGATTTTTTTTTTCTCTTTTTTCCTTTTTCTCCATTTTTCATCTTTTAGAATTTTTGACTAATTTATGCTTAAAACTTGTATGCTTGAGTCACTTTAACAAATTGTATATTAATTAAAATTGAAATTTCATCTATTGATGAAACTGTGTATCATTAGTTTTGTCATTATAGACATCTTCATGATTGATAAATACTAGCCCATTCTTATTAATTCTTAAATGAGTATTAACTCTCAATTTTTCTATAATCTTCTAGTTGATAACATTTGTTATATATATATATATATATATATATATATATTATTTTTATAATCATCAATTTTAAAGCTTTTAATTGAAAATTAATAAACCTTAATCCTTGCACAGTTTTATGTATTTTACCTCCCCTATATATTAACAATTATATATTATTGTTACAATAATATGTTACTCTAGTACAAAAAATAATAATAATATAGCCTTGTGACATAGTGCGGGTAACCCTCAATAGCAATAAAGATTTTGTTAACTGTTAAAGTTGTTTATCAATTTGTTTTTCCTTTTCCAAAATGGTCATGGTATTAGTACAATTAATTTCACTTCCACGAAATAAGGAGTTTGATCTAGATCAATAATTGGACAAATCGAAAAAAAAAAAAATCAAATTTACATATAATAAAAAAAAGCTACATGGTTTAAATTTTTAATAAAAATTGTATATAAGTTTAGAAATAACTAAAAAATGAGTTTTGTATTAAATATGTTGACATGAATTATGATACAATAGTTTTTTTTTGTTTTATACATGTTAAACATAAAAAAAATACAAATATGGGTATAGAAATTGTCAGATTTTTTAATTCTCTCCTAATCGCCCTTAGGAATGAGAAAAAAAAAAAAAAAACTAAGAAAATTGAGAACCGATTTGAAACTGTAGTAATCAATTCGGATTAGTTTTTTCTTATTTTATTCGTATTAAGTTTGGATATTAAATCTATAAATTAGGTTCCAATAAAGAAGTTAAAAATTGAAAAAAAATAAACTGAACCAAATTATATATTTTTATTAATTATTATATATTTTAAATTTTTATAAAATAAAACAATTATTTTATATTTAAAGATATTAAAAATCATATTAAAATAATAAATAAAAAATTAAAAAATTTCAAAAATCATTGAATCAAACAAATAAAATTCAGTTCGGATTAAATTGGTTTGCAAGAAAAGTTAGTTCAAATTTTAAAAATTTATAATATTATATATTATTCAAAACAATTGAATCAACTCTAATCCAATCCAATCCATTATCACACCTAACAGCCTTAAGAAAATTCATATATAAATATTGAAAAGTTTTGCTACGTAAATCAAGTGTGTAAAATTTAAAAAAATTTAATAAATTTTGATATATATATATTTTTAGATAGTAATTTAATAAAGATGTTGACATAATTTTACTATTGAAAAAATATTGATTAAATTTAAATTATAAATAACATTTTAAATAATTTTTTTATATATTATTGATCTTTACATTGAATTATATCAATCATTTGGATTTTTTTGTAAAGTTTTTTTTTTTAAATCATTTAAAACAAACTTTACAAATTTCACTTAAAAATTTTATATAAATTTCATCTATAAGTTGATATGGTTGACATGACTAGAGTTAGTGTTATAACATAATACATAATTTAAAAATTTAAGATGCAAATTGGACATTTTAATTTTTTAAGCATCAATTTATATATTTTTGTTCAAAATTTAGGTATCATAAGTATAATTAACTCAACTCAAAATAATTCAAATTGTATAATTCATACGTGAATAACATGGCTATCAAATTAAAAAAAAAAATCTGAATACTGACTCAAAATCAAAATAATTTTATCCCAAATAATCTAATCTAAACCTAATCCACGTATTCAATTATCGTCTCTAGTTTTGATGTTTCATTCCTAGGAGGATTGGATCGCAATTAAAGAAAATTAAAAATCAATGAGCCTGGCCCAAGACATGACTAGACTCACTAACAGAAGTCCATTCGTCCGTGTCCAATATCATCAAATGGCACATACCTCCTCAGTTTAACTTATTTAATATCAGAAACGCCTTCCTCTCTGTTCCTCAATTTAATATCTTATGAACATTAGTAAAAAAAAAAAGAAAAGAAAAAAATTTTAGGAATGAGTTATAAAATAATTATTTTTATTTATGAATTCAATTATTAAATAAAATAAATTTTTTATTCCTTTTCTTTTAGATTCCCTGTCAAACGTAAGAATGACCATGGGTTGGTCGGAATAAATTTTTATTTGTCATAAATTGACTTAATTTTATATTTATAATATTTAAATTTAATTTGATTTAATTTTTAAAAATTATTTTAAATTAAAATTTGATCTGATATAATATTACATAAAATTATATTCAATTTGATTTGATTTAAAATTAATAAAATATTATTTTTTAATATAAATATAATAAATAGATATAAAATTAAATAAATAATTAAAAATTATTTTTTATAAATATATATCGAATCAAATTAGAGATAAATTTATCTAAAATTTAATCTCAATCCGATCTTAAAATTTTTTTATTGTTATCCTATACAACCGACCTAAAATTTAATTTAAAAACAAAATCAACCCTAAATAGAGGTGTACAGTCGTTTAGTTTGATTAATTCTGTCTGAAAAAATTAATAACCGAATTAACCGATTTTTATTTTATCAATAACCGAACCGACCAACAAAATTTTAATTAACCGATTTAATCGAACCGATCGAAAATCAATTCGATTTGGTTAATTCGATTAAATAATCGAATTTTTCATCATTTTTTCTCTTATTTTGAATAATTATTTAACTACAAATTTAATCTAATAAAACTCAAATTCACACACCATTTAAACTAAATCACTAAAAAATTTAATAATTTCTACAATATTTTACACGAAAAAAGATAAATAAATACTCATTTAAACTTATTTAATCAAAATAAATTAAACAATAAGTTTTAAAAAGTATTACTCTAACATATATCAAATAACCAACAAAGCCATCAATACATAATAATTGTCATTTCAACACATAAACAAGTTTTCAAGAGTCAACAGGCCAACTTGAAAAAGCAAATCAAGCAAATATGCATCTCATAATTTTGGTGCAAAACATAAAAGACATTTTAAGTTGATAAATTGAACTAACAACTCATACAAAACATAAAACAAGCTAAGAACACTCCAAGTTGACAAATGGATATAAAAGTTCATAAAAAAAGTTAAAACAAGCTATTTAAAGGACATTCAAAGTTCTAACAGCATTCTTCATACATGAACCCCATAACTTTGGTGCACATCCTTCATTTTTTCCTAAAATGTTAAAGAGATTAAAACCTTAATTAGTTGTCAATGAATACAATAAATATTTTTTAAATGTAAATATTCATAGAAATTAATAATGAAATTACCTCAAAAGGTCCATGCACTTTTGTTTTAATCAATTACTAGATATAAGGTAATTTTTGACAAATCTAAAAATATATAAACAAAAAATAACAAAAGTAAGCTTTAAACAAATAAAAAAATAAAAAATAATAATCCTTAAAAAATAGTGATGGTATAAATAAAATATTACTTAAATCTATTTTGTTAAGTTGTATCAAATCATCTTCAGGTTGAAATGAATCAAGATTAGAAGATCTACGTAACTAATCTTGAGCACAAATAAGGGCTTGCACAATTTTAGGAGTTAAAGAGCTCATATATGCATCAAGCACACGACTACCAGTGCTAAAAGTAGATTCGAAAGCAATTGTGGATATGAGAATTGCTAATACATCACGAGCTAGATGGAAAAGGATAGGAAACCTATGGCTATTAAGTTTCCACCAAGTTAAAACATCAAAGTCATCACTATCATCATTATCAGGCTCTTCACTCAAATATTTAGCCAATTCTGATTTATGTTCATCTTTGCCATGTTCAATCCTATACCTCTTGTACTTGGACTTAAAGCTTTCCTTTTTTTTTGTCATTCCATTTTCACTTTCATCATCGGTGGGCTGTGACATTTGGCTCACTTGACTACTTTCACCAACTTGCTCAGACTGAGGTTCTAACATTCTTTTGTATTCATTAAATAAGTCTTCTATTGCTTGATGTACTTTTTTAATCATCAATGAAGCTTCATCAAAAGAATACATTTTCATGAAGCAATATTTAACAAAAGAAAACTTTTTTGAAGGATCAAGAAGAGAAGCAATATAAACCAACATATTCATCTTCTCTATATTTTTCCAATACTTATCATATTTATCCTTCATTCCTTTGCCATTGCATTCAACTCAACATTAGGATTTAATTGCTATTCTCGCAAAGTGGAATAAACATCACATATATCATCAAGAAAAGTATTAGATGTGACGTAAGAGGTACTTGAAACTTTCACGGTGAGATCATAAAATTATTGCAAGAAAAGGCAAAACTTCCTAACAATTTTCCAATCATTTTGATCAGGTACCCTATCTCTCATCAAAAGCTCACCTCTATAATAAGGATCAACATCATCAAATGCATCAAATGCCCTTTCAAACTTTTGAGCTGCATCCAATATCAAATAAGTAGAATTTCATCTAGTGCTAACATCCAAACACAATAAACTTTTACTTTGAATATATTCATTCACAATACATTCTTTAAACTTAGCTAACCTGGAAGGTAATTGTCTCATATATCTTATTGTCCCTTTAACACGAGCAATTGTTTCATTCATTTCCTTCAATCCATCACAAACAATAAGATTAACAATACGTGCAATGCATCTTAAATGAAGATATTTACCTCCCAAAATACTAGTTCCAGCATTGTTAAATTTTTTCCTCAAATATGCAATTGTAACATCATTAGAACTAGCATTATCAACTGCAATAGTAAAAATCTTATCAATCCCCGAATCATGCAAACATTTTTCAACCGTCTTACCAATAGCTTCACCTTTGTGACTAGAAATAGGACAAAAATTTAATATCTTTTTGTTTAGTTTCCAATCTTTGTCTATAAAGTGAGCCGTAAGACACATATAATTGACCCTTTGTAATGAGGTCCATGTGTCAGTGGTAAGAGATACTCTTGTAAAAGATGATTTCATGAATTGCTTCAAATGAGTCTTTTCATCAATATAAAGCTGATACAAAATCCCTAGCAACTGTCCATCGTGATGGACACGAAATCTAGGACATGCAACTGATATGCAATGCCTAAATCCTTTCGACTCCACAAATCTAAATGGCAACTCATTTAGAATGATCATTTTAGCTACAGCTTTTCTAACAGCATCTTGATTAAATTTTCAAGTGCCTAAAGATTCCACTCCTCCTGACGGCAACACCAATTCTGTTTGAGTACCATCATCCCCACTAACACGAGGAAGCTTTTTACAAGAATTCATGTGATTCTTTAAAGCAGTGGTTCCATTCTTTTTAGGATCAGCAAAAAATTCTCTGTCACAATAATTACACCTAGCTTTACGATTACCTTCCTCATTAACAAATTTAGTAAAGTGGTCTCATACCTCTGACCATGGCTTAGATGCTCGTCTCATCACTTTGAAATTTACAGTTTCACTTTTTGTTACCTCATCATATGCAGGAAGTTGAGAGGCCAATTGTGTTTGATTAGGTGTAGAATCCAAAATCATATTATTCACTTCATTTAACATTTTCAAAAAAAAAAAAGCAAGTGATCAAATTATATCCAAACAATAAAAAATAAATAATTAAATTATATTAAAATAATAAATAAAAATAAAATTATATTCAAATAATGAAAATATAATAAAGTAATAGTCACACAATTATTGAACACATTGGATATTCAAATAATGAAATAGTTTGTTAATCAAACTATATATTAGTTGCTTATTTTATCAACAAACAATGTAAGTGTCTAGCATTCTAACTCCCTTACTCCATCAAGTAAGTACTTTCATTCCTTTGGAAAAAAGAAAGTCTGTTATCAAAAAGCAATCGTCTTCTATGATGTCAGGGAGAAATTGTCTGCTTACTTGCGATAAGAAGGCATACTTTGGCTCTCTTCCATTCGTTGATTTCTGTCTTTCACTCGTGAGTTGTGGGACCATCCTCGAATCATCTTAGTCCACATCATTACCATATTGCCATACCAATATTTTTTTAACATTGAACAAAACACTTCTTCTTCAACTTCAATGTAAAAGCTTTACTCTTAAGAAATGAATCAAGATGCGAGCAAAAAGCATTACAGTTACCTAGCTTAGCTTGAGGAAGATCACTCGAAGGATATGCCTTTGTATTAAGCAAAGAAAGACCTTGGAATACCAACAAGTCATCAGCTTATTTGACGAAGAAAATTTGGCTGGTAAAATCATTTCTATTGGTCCGGGAGAGGGAGGAGTTCATTCATCCTTTCACAAGGGGATTCGCAAAGCAGAAGTCATTAACCCGAAGAGTGAAGTTGATAACATCTACATCTACAACCGATTCTTGGATCCATTGCCTTCTTTTGTTCGTGAATCTCTTCGTCCTCCTATGCCTTAAAGAGGGTCCCCAATCTTAGCCTTCCCCTTAAACTTTCGATCTTCCCTTTTTTTAAATGGGTGAAGTTGGGGGAAAGAAAGAATTAACCACCCTCTTTGGATTTGCCCAAAATTTATGGAATTCATTTATTTCTCTTAAGAGTGGCTTGCTTTGGCTTTGGCGCATTTCATGTAACAGGATTGTGTGGTCCTGGAATATAGGTGTCCGACCCTTATGGTCTGTAAAAAAAGAAAGTAAAGTTTATGGCCCTCCATATAGATACCGAAACCCCAGCAATTTCAGGGTCCGCTAGACCCGTGTACCGAACAAAGATGTAGGAGATGCGGCAGTTCTGTTCCAGTCTATGACAGCACTACAGCTAACACAACTACGAGCTAAGGCACAGAAATAGTACCAGCGGGAGCGAAGCAAGCTGAAACTGATAGAAACTGTTATTGAAAATGATGTTCCCTTCATTTTTATAAGTTAAAGCGCTTTCCTCGACCAAAAAGAGTATTTTCACAGCTCGCTACAGATATTGTAAATCCAGCATAGGGCGTGGAAGGTTTTGATCTTTTTGTTCCAGAACCTAGTCAATCAACTGGAGGAGTAAACAAGCCACTGAAAGTCCTAGACCTATTCATTCCGGGCTAAAGATAGGATCCATCTATCGACTCACTTTAAACAACAAAAGGTACTAAAAAATACCAAAAAAAAAACATTACAGTGGGCACACCCTGGGGCTGAGGTTTGGCCGTTTGGATTATGCTTTAGCTTAAAACATATATGAAGAATACAGCTCTAAACATCACGTTAAAAGAAAAAATAAAAGTTATTAAGATTTAAGAACTTACGATAGCGTCTTGGGCAGATTAATCTTTACAATGTCTGATCTTGTGTAGCAAATTAGAGGGAGCAAGAGATTAAGAGGCAAGTAGCCAAGCAAGAGAGTAAGATGGAGGCAAAGATGCAAGAGAGTAAGATGGAGGCAAACTGCAAAAGGCAGAGGCACGGTAAGATGCAATAGAGGGGAGCAAAGAGCAGAAAGGAGAAATGACGTGGGTGGATGAATTAAAAAAAGTAAGTTAAATTTAGAGTTTTTTAAGAGAATTTACATATTTACCCTTAGTTATTATAAGATTGATTAATTCGATTAATTCGATTATCAATTTTAAAAATCGATAATCGATTAATTTAACTAATTTAATCGATCTTAAAATCGATTACAATCGAAAATTGATTAAATCGAATTAAAATAATCATATTTCATAATTTTAGTCGGTTAAATCGATTAGAACCTATTTATACTCACCCTTAACCCTAAATAATTAAATTAGATCGAAATCTATCGTACGGATAGATTTGCCATCCCTAGTCGAACATAATCTCAGGCGTTTGGGTAATCAGGTGATTGGGTAATAGACCGAGAAGCAACGGCAATAGTGATCGCGGCGGGAGGATTCTCGTAACAGTGGTAGACCCAAAGAATTTGCCAAGTGGAATCTGACGTCAGAACGTATTATCGGCCTTTTAGTTCAACGAATCATAAAGGGTGCAGCTGCTCGGCTCCATTAACAGGAAAATATAACAATGGAAAAAGCCTTAAAAAAAAAATCCCAAACGATTGGTTTCCATAACGTAAACATTTATTGACGTTGGTCTTGTGCTCTTTATTTTTTATCAAATAATTTCGGAAATAAAGTTCTCAAAGGGCAACCATATGATCTCTTTTATAAAATAAAAAAAATAGTAATAATAAATACCTATACAGAACAAGTCAACTCTGTCCTTCTACATCTCCTCTTTAAACGTTTCATACAAATTTCAGAACCCGAGTTAACGAACTGTAAAAAAGCTTTATTAATTCAACAAAAACAGAGAAAGATAGTTAGAAACCAGATCTCTTTCAGATTCATTTACCAGGTACCCTCATAATCTCTCTTTTTCAATCAAATTTCATCCCGTAATCGCAAGCAATCGAATCTCCTTTTAATTTCTACTATTTGGTTGGTGTTCTTTATTCACATTCTCCAACACCCACCGAGAAAGCTTCTCTTAGCGAAGCTTTCTGCTCAACAGTTTCTAAATACGGTTGAGTAAAATTTCTTCTCTTTTCTTTTTGCTTGCAATGGATGCCTTTTTGTGCAATTTTTCGTGTTTGTTAAAATTCCTGATTCCGAATGGTTAATAACATAAACTTATTTTCTTTTATTTTTTGGATTGTGATTTAGAGAGAGTTGACTTGGCTAGAACTTTCTTTCTGATTGGAACCTTTTCGCCTTCTAATCTATTTAAGTACTGATAGTTCGCTCACCCACTGTTATTTACTGGTATAATCAATCTCATCGTTATTGTTGTTCAGCGAATGAGCTTCTGGAAATCCGTAATGCAGGGGCTTTATATAAGAGATCACATAATTCTATGATTTTAATCTCTTCATGGTTCACCATGGTGGAAAATTTAAATTCTATGTTATTTATATTTTAAATATTTTGTTTTTAATTCTGTTGTACCTTGATTTTGACAATCATTGATAATTTGGTAAGCAGTTGGGCCCGACAATGGCAGAATCTAACTCGGACTTGTTGAAGGAATTCTGCATCCCTACATATATATTTAATGATGAAACAAAGATCTCTGATGTTCCTGATGCGCCTAAATTTCCAGTACTAGTGTTTATCAACTCCAAAAGTGGCGGTCAGTTGGGTGGGGATCTTCTTAAAACATATAAAAGCATCCTCAATGAACATCAGGTACGTTTAGTCTTTCACGATTAATATTCGGATATTTGCTTTGGGGTTTATCTCGGTGTAACTAATTTCAGGTATTTGATGTGGGGGAAGAGGCCCCTGATAAGGTGCTTCACAGAGTTTACATGAGACTAGAAAAGTTGAAACAAGAAAAAGATGAATTTGCCTCTAAGATTCATGAGAGATTAAGAATAATTGTAAGTTGAGCCTCAGATAACAAGGAGCAGCAGTGCAGTTATTATTATTATTATTATTATTATTAATTTGTTTATTTTGCTTCTCACGAGTAGCTTGTTCTTTAGGTTGCTGGTGGTGATGGGACAGCTGGCTGGCTTCTGGGGGTTGTTTGTGATCTTAAATTGCCACATCCACCTCCAGTTGCGACAGTTCCTTTGGGAACTGGAAACAATCTGCCGTTTTCATTTGGCTGGGTGAGTATCTGCTTGCTCGTATTAGTTGTAATCAAGTATAGAATGAGAGTTAAAACTGTAATGATATGTTTTCTTACATAGAGCAATCTAGGACAATTAATAAGTGGTCATGCTGTCATTTTTTGGGCACAACATGCTTTTAATTGGCTTGGTAGTATTTGAATTTTCTATACTCCGGTTTTGTTTCTTGTTGTCTTTTTTAATGTGGAGCAGAGGTAAGTTCACACTCTCAGTCAAACAAAATATTCAGAGCCCTTGCTTTCAGTAAAATTTGTAATGTTTGCTGAAAGTTCTTCTAATTCTTGATTGGCACTAGGCAATAGGAATCTGCTGGAAGTCTTTATATCATGAATAATCTCCTTAAATTTATGAGTATTCAGTGCTGGTCTAACTTGCAGTTTTCTAAATTACAGGGAAAGAAGAATCCTGGGACTGATCGTAATTCTGTGTTATCATTCTTGGAACAAGTAATGAAAGCGAAGGAAATGAAAATTGACAAGTAATGTAGTCGAAATGACTCGCTCTCTCTCTCTCTCTCTCTCTCACTCACACAGACACACACAAAGACACATGCTTGATACGAATTGTAGTTGTAAAATCTGGAACTCCCTGATCTGGCATAGTGCTGATGGTAGCCAAAGTGTGGTTTGCATATCCAATTTCAGTTAAATGGGACTTTGCCTCCTTTAAGTGATGAACCTTTAGTGATGCGATATGCTCCCGTCTCCGCTACCTGGTTATCGTGTAAATTGTTGTGTACATTATTTAGACACATGTAAAACACTTGTCTATCCTTTGATCATGTATTAATAGCTATCAAGCATGCAGTAGGGAACAATTATGATCTATTAATTCTCAATCCTTTCTGTGTAACTTTATAAATGGAAGTTCGGGCAAAATTAAATGTGTAACATTTTTGACATATAAATCTTCTGGGAAAGATGTAGTATATAAAAAAAGAGTTCAGTGCTGTATAGCTACATCATTGAGAGAACTTTTTTTTCTTTTTATTTTCTTGGTTGATTCTTTCCATCATTTTCACTAGTATTCAATTTTAAGGAGGACAGAATTAAAACAGATACAGATCAAATTAAATATATTAAGATTTAGCATAACAAAATAAGGCAGACTAAACAATACTTCTTTAAACTCACCCAATCAAAAAGCCTTCAATTCTTACAAGAGAATAGAAGAGATCATACTTTCATACAATATCTTAATTGAATTATATATAATGATCAATAAATTCGGTTTAATTCTCTATCCATATGTGCCAAAAAACGAAGCATTTTTGCATACCATGCTGCTTAACACTCAAAGTCCAATTTATAACTACATTACTGCATTATTCTTTTTTCTTTTCACTTGTGTTTTTTAGTCTCTTTATGGATATAATGTTTCATTTTGGAAAAATATTCTCATACCAACATACATCTAAATTTCTTTTTTCAATTAAACCACAGGGTTGACTAATATAAAGAACTTTAATATAGTTACTGATATATGCATTTTTGTGGTTCAGTTGGCATATTCTCATGAGGATGAGAGCTCCAAAGGAAGGTTCCTGTGATCCTATTGCACCTCTTGAGCTACCACATTCTTTACATGCATTTGGTCGTGTCTCTTCAACAGATGAATTGAACATGGTAAAACATTCTACCATTGCCTTCTATGACTTCTTAGAAACATTTCTCTGTCTTACTCTCTGTTTTTTGCAATCAAGAAACTGTATGCTATTTAAAAGCTTAAGGCTATCTCTTGTAACTTGCAAGTAAAAACTTCCAATACCCTTTTATGACTTTGAATGGTTCTTAATTTCTTTGCTCTTCATACCATATGAATATTTTCAGTAGCACATAATCCTTCCTGAACTTTTGGTCTAACTTCCAGTTTACATTCTCTACCTGATTCTTGAGAATTTATGAAAGAAATCCAATAGGTGTATAGAATCATTATACATAGTTGGTATTATTTCCATTCTTATTTGAAAAGGTTTTGCTCCTCAGGAGGGTTACCATACATTTCGTGGGGGATTCTGGAATTACTTCAGCATGGGTAAGAGTACTTTCTCCGGACAAGTATTCAAACTGTTATGTTGATAACATAAAGCTATCTTTATCTTCTTACAGAGTGTCTTATAACTGTGGATGCCTTTAAAATGCATCTGTTTTTGTAATGATGCTTTAAAGTGCAAATTGATTATAATTTCTGACATAATAAATTAATACAGTTTTTTATTCCTTTTACTTTCCGTTGCCTAATAGAAATTGAACAATTCTAGTAAAGAATATATGATTGAACAAAAACTTTATCAAATGTTAGGTTTCTTTATGCGTCCAGTTCCATTTTACATCTGGTTGAACTATCGTTTTGAAATTCCAAGAAACTAGTTTTTGAGTCCTTTTGTTTCTTTTGCAAAGTTTGTCTTTACTGTCTTACTATCTCCTCCATTTCTCCTTTTTGGGTCCACTTGTTAGGCTAAACAAGAGGAAGTTACCCTCCTCTTCCTGTAATTGAAAGGCAGGATTTGATCACTAGTCCTGGTGCAACCACCAAAAGACTTTACCTGCTAAGCTAGTTGACACTTACATTGCTGTCTTACAATCCAATGTAAATGACAGATTTGTTTACTCTCACCCTCTAGTTAGTGTCTGGTTTATTTAGATTTGTTTCTAACATGACAAGATGACGACCGGTTACCCTCATTACTATTGTTGTAATGTTGTCTATAGGAATGGATGCTCAAGTATCTTATGCTTTTCACACTGAGCGAAAGTTGCATCCAGAAAAATTTAAGAACCAGTTGGTTAATCAGGTATAGTTCTGCATGGTGTCATCTGCCTTTTTTTTTTTTATGAGATGGGCACATGCAGTCAAACCATCACTGTTTTCCTTTTTCAAGGATGTTACATGATTGACTGCTAGCATATACTTTCATTGTAGACTTATTCTCTTTCAGCTTTAAGGAAAATCATTTTCAAGAACAATCTTTTTCGAGAATTAATTATGTTACCATCCATACCTGAGAAACTGGTTAGTAAGTTTTTCAACTTACTTAACATTTACTAAGAAATTAAAGGGATTAGAAACCATGCATGACACCAGCTAGATTGGTGGTCTTGTATATTGCATATGGATAATTTCATTGGAGAAGGGTGTGAGCAAATCCAAATGGTAGAAGATGCTGCTGAATTAATAATTAATTACATCTTTAGTTGCATTGTTTTGTTAAGAAACTAATGCACATTGTAGGTGTGGCATTTATCTGCTGTCCAAACTGGGACGGTAAACTTATGGGTGAGGTCCTACTTATTGAGTCAATGTGTAATCTAACTTTCTTACTTATTAGAGTGGGAACTAAATTCAAATGTGAGACACTTTGTTCAACACTTCCATGTGAAGTGTTTAAGAAAGATATTTGAAGCTGATTAATGCATTAAATTTGAAATTACTCTGGCAGGCTGCCAAAATGGAGCTCTTGAGTTTCCATTTGTAGAGTTGGTTTACCTGGATTTGAACTACTTGAGTGTCTATTATAACACATCAACAGCACTTAACTTTTTTTTTTTTTTTTTGCATTTGATACTCAACAGTTTCAATCTTCTTCATAAAAGTGGCTTTTATGAACTCCTCCACAATGATTTGTAATTATCTTTCTTGGTGATTGAATACACATTTATGTGCTGTATAATGACATAACGTGTTGTATAGTGGCATACTTTTATTTATGGAATATGTACATGTTTGTAGGTGTGTGTTTCTATGCATAGATATGTATGTTATCTGGATCTTGCTTGTCTTTGAGGTATATTCTCCCTTAGGAAGATATGCTGGTTATTCATTTTTTCATGTTCCCCAACTTTCTTTCCAACAGAGCACTTATGCAAAGCTTGGTTGTACACAAGGGTGGTTTGCCGCATCTGTTTTTCATCCTTCTTCGAAGTAAGCGTGGTTGCTTTTTATCTTTTATCCATAATAGTAACTTTTTTTTTCAAATCATAGGCTTACGTTCAAGTTTCATGCATTTTCCTTTCGTTGAAGCATGGCTTGTTTTCTCTAATTAATTGTTGATAATGGAAAATAAAATATAAATTGAAAAGAAAAAACAGGAAACGTGAAGGTGTAATATGATAAGTATTGAAATGTTTCATGTTATACTACCACTTGTAGTGTGAAGATGGAATTTTAGCCTTTTATTTTGAGATAAATTGTGGCACAATGTGTAGAGAAATCTCTTTTGTTCTCCCAGGTACTTACAGTAGGCTGTATAAAGTAGAACATCTCTCACCAAATAATTTCGGCTTCTTTTCTTAGTAAATTGAAAATTGTATATGATCTGAAACTACAGGAATGTTGCCCAGCTTGCAAAAGTGAAAATCATGAAGAAACATGGTCAATGGCAAGACCTCCAAATACCTAACAGGTAATTCGGATTTTGTCTTATGGAGGTTACTGGCTTTAGACCATTTTTATTTTTCATATGTAAAAGAGATAGATTTGTTCAAGCCAAGCATTTCCATTACCACACAATGTAGAAGAAAAATATAGCAATATGGTTCAAATGATGAGTATAAATGTTGATCACAACTCACGACAAGCATGTGACAAGATATGTAGCTCATCTCTTCAGTTCTTGGAATTTCTTATCTGCTAAATGGTAATTCATTTTATATTATTATATATTAGCATTTGATTATTAATGTTATTGTGTTAGAAATTATTGACAAATAGAACAACTGAACAAGTATAAAATAGATTAATGAACCTAAATAAGAGAAAAGGCCTGACAGTTCTCTGGTGAAAAGAGAAAAGAGGTAGCTTACTATTCATTGCAGCTTTTCTTTGGTTAAGAGACAGTTGTTTGCAAAAATTGGCCATGCTATATTGTAAAATTTCTAATTTTAACCCCAAAATTTCTGGGATAGCTTCAACAACATTATAGACACATCAATGTGGCTCTCTTTGTTGTTTGTGCAACATAGTGTTGTCTCTTTCTTCAATCTTCCTAAGTTTCATGTCCTTATTCTTGTTAATTAGATGATTCATGCTTTTTAACAATGAAAATGTTGTTTAAAGAGTTTTTGTGAAGTAAAACAACTGCTGCTTATTTCATATTTTTCTACTTAATTTCGTAATATTGCTTTCACTGTTGTTAACGAAGGGTGCCTCTTATGTATTTCTGTTTTGTCCCCGGACCCCCTCCCCAATTTAAACAGCATAAGGTCAATCATATGTCTCAACTTGCCCAGCTTTTCTGGCGGCCTGAATCCTTGGGGAACGCCAAACAGCAGAAAACTGCGTGATGTCAGTTTCTATATATTTCATTTGATGATTTGTTTTGTATTTGAATTTGGTTCTTTATGGTTAAGAAGCATGAACTTGCTCAAAAAAATCTGATGAAATATTTCTCTGAATCAACTTTACAGAGAGACCTGACTCCACCTTTTGTAGATGATGGCCTTCTCGAAATTGTTGGTTTTAGAGATGCTTGGCATGGGCTCGTGTTGCTGGCTCCAAATGGACACGGAACTCGTCTGGCACAGGTAATAATCAAAGAAGGCATAATCCAGCAGTCAAACCCTCCATTTAGAGATGACAGCCCTACTTTAAATCCCTCTCTCCCCAAAACTAAGGAAAAATTTTATGAAAAAGAATTTATCGAATCAATGATTTTACTTCTCCCCTATATTTTCCTTCATTCCTACAAGGACAAGAAATTAGTTAAATTGATCAAAATGTTACATGGTATAAATCTCTTTGTGTGTTTGGTTCAGTATTTCAGTATTTGTTATTATTTGTTATCTGATGGCAACTAGGCACACCGAATCCGCTTTGAGTTTCATAAAGGTGCTGCTGACCATACATTTATGAGGATTGACGGGGAACCATGGAAGCAACCACTGCCAATTGATGATGATACTGTTGTGGTTGAAATTTCTCACCTTGGACAAGTCAACATGCTTGCTACCCAAAATTGCCGGTCTAAAAGTGTCCGTGATGATCCTTCATCAACTAGTCATCACAATGGTGAGGAAGATGATGACAGTGATGAAGAGGACTCCAGAAATGAGGCAGATGAGTTTAGGAAATTTGGTGCAGCAGCCACCTTCAGAATCCCTGATGAGGTTGATATTTCTCAACTTAGTTAAACATTTAATATTTCACTCATCCTGTGTGAGTGTGATTGTCGGGGTTTCAGTAATAATTTGGGTTCAACAAAGGCTGCCGTTCATATATAAATTGTTGTCATCTTAAACCAGATGATGCCATCTTAATGATGCCATTATCTGGAGGAAATTCTCGTCTTACAAGATTATTGCTAACGGTATTGGCTGGTTAATTTTGCGGTGGCTCTAACCCATGAGCAGTGAAAATGTTTATCTTTATTTGATGTCAGTATCAAAGTGTCAATGCACCAAAAATTTAACGAATGACATGCATTACAATGTATATGACACTGATAATAATATTTGAGTTAACATGATACACTATTTGAAAGGCTTGCACTGGAACAATGAGGATTCCTAGATAAATAGACAAACCAGAGTGAACCTCCTTAACATTTACACAATCTCATGTACGGATTGTACTGAAAGAAGTCAAGAGATGGGACAAATCGCCACGAGTTCAAATTGAACTACCAAGTTACGTTCAAGAAACTGCAAGACTAACACTGCTACAGTTGCAACTTGTGAACAAAAGACATTTGGAAGAGTAAGACTGTACTTGAAAATACATATATAGTATGCTTCTCAACCCCCAATCTGATGACAAATTGTGCCTAAACCCTGAAGGAAGCAAACAAAAAGGGGATTGATAAGCAAATTGGGAGTGGAGTAGATAGATCAAATTACTGGCGGGCCCACGTATCAGTATTCCCCCAAACATTTTTTGATGGCTTCATTGGCCCTTTGTGATTCTGATCTTTCTTCTCTTTTCTTCTTCTCTCTGGAGGTCAAAAACATTTTAGATAACAGCATCATATAAAAGAATTCAGCAACAAAGAAAAACTTGCATTAATTGCTTAAAATTGATTAGGGATTAATCACATCTGTAAGGTGAGGATCATTTCAAGTACATCCAAAATTTGGAACACAGCCAAAGTGCTGAACAAATCTAAAATTGAAGGCACTAATCTGGCTACTCTATTCAATTTTCGAGAGTGATTTTCAGGTAATCGAGGAAATTGTAGCAAGCTTGACTTTCACTAGCATGGTATCTTTGAAATTTAGTGTTCACTTATTTTCTCCCAATTTGCAATTTGTCTGCAAATTAGTATCCTTGCAGGAGGTTCACACCTAAAAATAGCTCTTTCTTGCAGGAGGTTCATATCTAAAAAATTGCTTGTTACTGCAAGAGGTTCATATCTAAAAAATCAGTTGTTTCAAGAGGTTCAATAGCAGGAATTTACACTGTAAATGCTTTAGCACTGACTGATTATATCTGTTGAACTTATGCAGCACAGAATACAGAGCAAGCAAAAGAAATAGTGTATAATACTTTTAACTACAAAATGTTAACAAGGATGAGAGAATTTACCTATCAACATACTCCTTAAGCAACTCTTTCGCTTGAACCAGCTTGGACAGCATATTCCTATACACATCAAGATCCCGATCCACACTTCGTTTATTGATATTTAAAGCTGCACAAAGCTATTGTACAGATGAAACAAATTAAAATCCTAAGTGCAGTTGTTCCTTATATTTTATCATTGCAAGTTTCTTTTGTGAATTGTGATAAATCCAGTTCTCTTGTCATTTTCCTTTTTCTATCCTCCGCTTCTTGCAGGTACAAGTACAATCAATGGAGATTCTGGTGAAGGCTTTATTGATTTAATGAGAGTTCACTTATCCTGCCTAACAATCCTACAACAGTGTCTTACGCCTGCCACTGTTAAATTCTACTTGTGCTTAGGTATAAGTAATTTAGAACATAGTCCAACAATAAACCAATAGATAAAAGCAAAGGAGGATTCCACCTTTTCTAAAACTGTAGGTTCAGTTGCATTGGCCAGCTCAAGAAGGCGAAACAACCCGACAGCAAAGAAACGGCTATAGCTAAAATTCCCCTTACCCCCAGCTCTTTCTGCAGTGTCTTTCAGCATCGCCTCAATTTCTCCATCTCTTGATGGAAACTCAACAAGTGAACTGGAAGTTTGAGCACGAGCCCACTCTTCCAACTTCTGTGCATCGTCTCTGTAGGGCACCACACATAAAAAATTAACATTATAAGGAAACCATCTTCTCATTTACCTCAAGATTTAATTCAATAAAATGGACGCATTGTAAGGAACAGCATCCCAGTTTCATGAACAATACCATAGTTAAGATGTTGGAACACATGAAATACCAACATTTCCTTTACACATTCTACTTCCTAAGCAGAAAAGTTGAGCATGGTATATTCCATGCGATTTCATTGGCCTAGCTTTTTGCATTTCTAATAGAAAATTCCATAATCCATATCTTGAATTCCAAGGCATGCCAATCGGTATTTGAATCATTGCTTGGTAAATGAAGACATGGAAACCCGATAAACAAACCTGTACTGTTGGGGGTCCTCTTTTAATGCATTGATATAAGCTTGGAAGATGGCATCTCGATCCTCATCACTCGGATATCCTTCCATCAATTGATCATATACAGTAACAAAACCAAGGGCGAAGACGGCGTCATAACGATGAGTCCTCTTGTACCTCATCAAATGTTGCTGCACAATCAGCTCCTGCAAAACTGTGTTGTACACACTTGGGATGGGTCGTTTATATGCTTTTAAAAAATTGGACTTAGTTTCAGATACAGTTGGCACATCTGAAAATCAAAAACTCAAAACAGACAAACAAAATAACCTGTCAACAAAAGAAGGTTAAATCGAATAATCCTCTATAATTTAATTCCGAGAAGCCATGTTCCTGCATTGCAAAGGAAAAATTAACTAACCGTTAGCAGTAGACATGCAGTGAATAATGGATGGAGAGGCAGTCGAGGGAACTCCAACTCTGACGGAATGACATAAAAGGCTTATCCGGAAACGGAATCCTTCGAAATTGGAAGCCAGGTAACGAGCCGAAGAGACATTGACTTTTCCGCCGTTGGAAGTTTGACCAATTGCCGAGAAGGACAGTGAAATACCTGCCGCCGCCATTGGGATTTTTCTATTAAGACTACCTTTGACTGTATGTGTTATTGCCTATACATAAGTATACAAGAAGAGAGGGAGAATTTTGGGAAACTTTGGGTTTTCAAAATTCCGGAGTTCTAAGGTTAAATCATAGTTTGAATCCGAGGCTTTGCGTTGGTTTTTGAATTGGAACCGAAGGGAGAGGGATAGACGCTTATCCAGTGTTTAAAGGAAATGGGGGATTTTTGTGAATTTGGAGAGGAGCTCGTGAGCTTTTGACACGTGGCTTTTTTGTTGCTTGTTTTCCCTTCTCTCTCTTACTTGGGTGGTTTAGTTTTCCCTGAAAGGGAGAGTCTTTGAATTTGAGTGACATATAGGCCGAAATTGTTTCTTTTTCTTACACAGCTACTCTGTTACACTCACTTTCTCCTTGAAACACCGGGTTCACAATTTGTAATTTTAATCACGATGATACTGATGTTATATAATTTAAAATTTTAATAAAAATAATGTACAAATTTAAAAAAATAATATATATGTTTAAATTTAATATATAATATAAATTATGATATAATAATTTTTATATTTTATACATATTTAATACAAAATAAATATAACACAATCACATAAATTACAAAATTTACTTTACAACCAGGTAATGTCTTAATTGCCTTTCCAATTTTACAGAATTTCTTTCCGAAAATGCCAATTTACTGTCAAGGATAGACCTTTTTTATGAGTTAGACACAAGGTTGAGCGGCTACGCTACAAAAAAAACGTGATGGGCAAGGAAGCGTAACAATGGGAGTCATTCAGTTTCGCAAGCAAACGAGGATCAATGTTTAGATTGACTCAACTTCCTTGTTAGTAGTTATCAAGCTTAATGGAATATGGTCCAGTGTTTGTTTATCTTATTCAGGAGAAGATAAGATTATGGCAAAGGAATGCTACAAAATGATGACATTTTTCTTGCCTAATCAAACAGCAAAGTGGACTGCTAGCTGGAGCCTGGATGTAAAATTTCTGGTAAAGGGTGAATAGTCTACGGGCTTCAACATATTTTCATGCCTTAAACTCAAACTGAAATCTAGAAGGCGGGTAGAAAGCTGTTTCTGGGCTTAAATATATTTGGATTCCAAACCGCAGCGTGAGCAATGCACCCTTCATTCATTGAAGTTTAAAGAAATAACTAAACTAACTGTGAATATCTAATTTTGTTTGAACAAATTCTAGTTAATTATGAGAGTTTTAAAGTCTGGCTAGTTTGAATCAAATATTTCTTTAATATCGATGATTTTTCAAAACTAAATTGGAGACTAAATTAACTTGAACGTCACACGATCAAATTTGGTTAAACAAAATTAAATCTAGTCAAAATCGATCAAATATGAGCAGACTCATGCTCACCCTTGGAAGTCACAACCAAATGAGATTATTAAGACTTGGAATTAATTCTGTGTGATTTTAATGTACTAAAAATCTTGATCGAACCTCAGAATATATGAAATTACTAAAATACTCTTAAATGATATTTTCATAATTTGATATCTTCAATGTCAGTTTTTCACAAAAAAGCTCCAAATCTTATTTTAATATTATTTTATGATTTTTTATGGATTAAAAAACTTTGATCGTATATTAGAAAGGTGTAAAATTATTAAAATACCTTTTTCGGGTATATTCATAATTTGACTTTCTCAAAGTTAGCTTTTCACGAAAAGCCTTAAATCATATTATGATATTATTTTATGAATTTTAATATATTAAAAACTTTAATCGTACTTTGAAAGGTGTGAAACTATCAAAATAACTTTTAGAGGCATTTTCATAATTTGACATTTTCAAAAAAAATTTTTTTGTAAAAAGCTTCAAATCATGATTGAGTATTATTTTATGATTTTTAGTACATTAAAATCATAAAAACAAATAAGAGATCATAGGCTTATAAGAAAATCACACAAAAAGGTCAAACTTTTAGTGGGGTAAAAAGGTATTTTTTCATTTTACAGTAGCACTAAAGGCTACATTTTGTGCTGAATTCATTATGGATTGTTGATTTTTCAAGAGGATAGATCTAAGGGTGAAATGTGGTTACTTGGTGAATAAACTTGGGTGATGATAGGAGCTTTTGGATGGAAAATTGATCAAAGGTTAGCTTGCATTTGCATAACTTATATATTCATCATTTAGGGCTGGAAATAGATGAGGTGACAACAATATTGGTGGCATGTAAAGGAAGAAAAAAGAAAGAAAAAGAAAAAAAAATTTGAGAAACTTTGGAAGGTATAATCCTTCTCTACCTTTCATGCATTTTCATGTTAGTTTCTATGCTTTTCTATATTAGTTTTCTTTGGTTTTTGTGATTTTTCAAAGAGGAATAGCTCTCTCCATGGTGTTTTTCCCCATAAATCTAGGTTTGATCCAATAAATTCAATTGCCTAAATCAATAGTATTCGTTTGAAGTAAGAAATATCAAGAAATAGCAAAATGTCCACCATTGAAAACCTTTTGGAGGTTCAACCAAGCTTCCCCATACCATGGCTGAACCTCTCTTAGGTTCATTTCTATATTTTGCTAGCTTTGATTGATGTATATAGATGAGATGTGGTTGTATTGAATGTTATTTGCATGTTGTTTACTACTTTTATGGATTATATGTTGTGATCGGTTAGGATTTATGTTTCTAATGCTTTCTATTTTACTAGCTTATTACATATTTGATGAAAATCCTTTAATAATAAAATGCCTTCCTAAGTTAGATTTCTATGTGTTTGATAACGTTTTAGCTAAATGAATGATTGAGTGTTTGTGGAAAAGCCATAGGAAGCATTTGGCCAAGCACTTCTTATTATTGAGCCGAAACTTCCACCCTTGCTTGGTATGGTTAGAAGTTGACATTTTCATGCTTGTTTGCTTGTGTTTTTAGTTAGATTTTTATGTTTTCTATAAGATTTCTATGTTTTCTATATGTTTAATAAAATTTTCTAAAAATAAAAAAGTTGAGTTAGTGAATTTTCTAGTAAATTTTACTTTGTTTTGCACATGTTTGACTTGAAACAAAATGGTATAGAAGTTGCTCTATTTGTGTGGCCAATGCAATGGAGCTTAAAAACAGCCTTCAAAGTTTCACCCTAGCCTCCAACCATGGCTTGGTCAAACCTTTATGTTCCTTTTAACCCTTGGCATTTAATTTCTTTTTGGCTAGGTTTTTGCATGCATGTTTAGTTTGTCATATGTTTGAGAATTTTCCTAAATTAAGGTTTTCTTATGTAGCTTTATTTCATGCATTAAAGGTTTCATTTTTACATTAATATCATGGTTATCTTGCACATGCATTGTCTATGCAAACCTTAAACCCAAACATAAACCATAAATGCCCATATAAACCCAAAACACAAATCTCAAACCCTAAAACAAAAACCTAAACCCCAAACACACCCTAAACCCCCATGTAAACCATAAACCCCTATGCAAACCCTAAACTCCAAACAAAAACCTTAAACCCAAAATACAAACCGTAAACACCCTTGTAAACCATAAACCCCAAACACATCCTAAACCTCCATGCAAACCATAAAGCCCCATGCAAATCCTAAACCCCAAACACAAACCTTAAACTCAAAATACAAACCTTAATCACCCATGCAAACCATAAACCCCAAACACAAATCCTAAACTCCCATGCAAACCTTAAACCCTAAACATAAACCCTAAATCTTAAACACAAACCTATAACCCCAAATCAAAACGCCTAACTCTTTATCCCTAACCTAGACCTTAAACCTAACACAAATCAAACCAAAACCCAAAACCCTCCAACCCTAACCTAGACCCTAAACCAAACAAAAATTGAACCTAAACCCTAACCAAACCCTAAACCAAAACTTTAATCCCTCAAACATGAACCTAAACCTTAAACACCCAAGCAAATCGTAAACCCTCATGCAAACCTTAAACCAAATTGAACCAACGCCAAATTGAACCTAAACCCTACCTAAACCCTAAAAGCCAACCTTTGATTAATCCTCATGCATTTGCATTCCATTTTAATATATTTGTCACTTGCATACTTGAATTATCATGCATTTACATTTGTCATTCATGTTTTAATTGTCATTCATATAGTATATCTTCATGCATGTTATTCACATGTTTTATAAAATAAAGTGCTACAAGAAAAAGTTTCAATTAACAAAAAAATAATGTAATATTTTAAGTAAAAATAACTCTTGAGATTTAGCTTAAATATAGAGGAGCTTTTAACGGTTATCATTTATGCAAATTATTGTCTTGATTTTTAGGACATTTTGAAAACTTTTAAAGTTAAGAACATTTATGAACTTCGCCTAAATATAGGGTAGTGTAGGAAATATGTCAATACTTAAGACTTTTCATCATGATCAAAAAATGATTGCTTTTGTTTTTTCAAAGAAGTTAGAAATACAAATGATTTATTTTCAAAAACATAAATTTTAAAAGACTAAATTTTTTAAATGAATAAATAAAATTAAGAAATTAATTTATAAACACTAAATTTAGGATTTTTTTTACAAAACCTCAATGATAACATTAGGGTTGTGCAGAAATCAGTTTTCATAAAAAAATCAATAAAAAATCGATTTATATGTTAAATCAATTTTGATTTTTTTGGTTAAATATATTAAATCGGTTTGGATATCGATTGAATCGATTTAGGTGGTTGATTTTTGGTTCCAAGATTCATGAACCGAATTGACTGAAAAACTCGATTAAATATTATTAAAATATTTTATATTTTTATTAATTTAAATTTTTATATTCTTTTTTATTTTTTACATTTTATAATTTATACAAAACTAAAAGCAAAAGTCAAACTTTGAAACTGAAAGTGAGTGAAACCTTAAGTTTTGTTATTTTCTCTCACTGACGGTCAAAGCCAACTGCCAATGCAAGTACGCAACCCTTATCATCGCCAATTCACCTAAACACCTACACCCACTCAGTCACTCACCTTTGCAACCATTTCCCAGTTGATCACCGACGACCAATGCAAGTACGTAACCCTTACTGGCTTACCCAGGCACCCATTCAGGCACTCATCCTTATAGCCATTTTCAGGTTGATTTCGAAGGCACAAGCTTCAATCAACGACCACTGACCACCGATGACTATTGTAACCTTTAATCGACTCCTCTCACCTATCACAGCTCTTTATCTGCTCGATCTTCTCTCTTTTACAACTTAACTGAACTCAAGGTAAGATCTTTAATCCTTTTTTACCCATGCTTTTCGATCTCGATCTTCACATCATAAGTCAAATTTTGCTCATTTTGAGTATGTTGCTATTTTTTCTTATATTT